GGAATCGTCGGCGGCTTTGGACTTGCAGTTGACAACGGAAGAGGTGACGAGGTGAAAGGTGAAGACGTCTGTCCAATAAAGCACCGAGCGCAGTTGCACACTTTCGCCTCTTCGGCCCATCGCGGCCAATTCCACTTTCCACACTTATTCCTTCTCGGTTATTATTGATTTCTGCTTTTTTTTTTTTAGAAGATATGAAACTTGCTCAGATTTCACGGCGAAACACTTCCTTCTTCCCTTATCCGTCATCTATCACGGATGTAATACGAATAATATTTTTCCTTGGGAAGAATTTGTCAAGCAAATTTTGAAAATTACGACGTACTAAACGCCAGGCTGAAAGACAAAACCTGACGGTACTATACAATAGTAATTCCATATTCTGAACAATTTTATGCTTCTTCGGTTTCCTTTTTTTCCACCGATCTCCATGAATTTTGTGCTTATTCTAAGGAATGTATTGTAGAAATGGTTTCGCTAGGCATTCACATATGCATTTTTTACAAAGTGAAAACTTGATAGTCAATCGTTGAACAACATTAATCAACCGTTGAATCGTAGAAGGATAATCGGAATATACAATTTTTCGTAATTAGAAACAATCAACAAATGACAGTTAAAACGCAAAGAAAAAAATAAATCAGATAAAAATGAACAAGAATTGTAAATTCGTCAATGGTGAAAAAATAGTAAGATTTGAAGCTCTAGTTAATCGGTATAATAATTTTTTTTTTGATTTGGTAGTTCAAATCTATCCATGTATTATGTGAAATACTCCCTGTTGATACAAAATAGGCCCATTCAAATTAAACCGACAACCCATTACGATTTTTGGTTTATGCTCTGCTACTGACTACTGACTGAAAAGTCAAAAAATTTTAACTTTTCTCTCTTATGTTAACAAACTGTTTAAAAAACGTTGTTTACAGCACAACTAACATAAATAACACACATAAATGTTATCTATAGCAATACAATAGCCGTAATAGAAGACACTAAGAGAGGGACGATTTTCATCCAATATAGGTACTATTTGCATTTGTTAATTGTTCTCCCCCTTTGTCAACAAATTCTCGTGGTACAGACTAAACACAAATGACCAATTTAAAATTTCGATATTGTTTTTATAAAGTTCAATAGTAATAATAGACAGGACATTGCCACATCTGACTTATTAATTAATGTTGTCAATGTTCAACAGTTCTATTGTTTAACAACATATTTTATTGATACAAAATAGTTATTTATGACACAATTATGAAAAATTTGGCATGTTGAGATGTTATCCTTGTTATCTTTAGTATTAGGTATTGAAGAAATTGGGAGAAAATTGCCATTCTGACGTGAACTGTTGAAGTTGAAGTGTTCTGTTTCTATCCACTTTTTCTTTTGGTGCAACCACGTTATTTGATACAACAAAATATATAAAAAAATCTTAATTTATATAATTCGTATTCTTAATAAAATTTTATTCCTAATAATTTGAAATTAAACAAATAGGGAGAAAATTGCTAATTTTGATATCTCATACTCTGCAAAGTTGAACGGTTCCACTTGTCCACTTTTTCTTTTGGTGCAAACATATTATTTAAGACACAGTTAAAAAAATATCTTAATTTATATCATTTTTATTGCTAATAATTGAAATTAAACAAATAGGGAGAAAATTGCTACTTTTGATATCTCATAGTCTGTAAAGTTAAACAGTTCCACTTGTCCACTTTTTCTTTTGGGACAAACAGATTATTTGTGATACAACTACAAAAATATCTTAATTAAATCACTTTTATCCTTACTAACTGAAATTAAACAAATAGGGATCAAATTGCTACTTCTGATATTTCTTTCTATGCGTTCCACTTGTCCACTTTTTCTTTTGGTGCAAACAAATTATTTGTGACATAATTAACAAAGTTTTGCAGATTTATCTCTTATCCTCTTAGGCTTGATCAGGGATGTAGTCAACAGTTATACCAATATCTTAATTACAACAATTGGTAGACAACAATTACTAAAATTTAAAAAAATATATTAAATAAAAAAATTAAAAAATTAAATTTTATTGTTAATAATTGAAATTAAACAATTAGGGATGATATAAACACTTCTGCCAACTCAATATCGGCAAAGCTGACCAGTTCTCTCCTTTGGCAAATTGGATCTATTGGTACAAACTACTAACTAGTTATTAAAGACACAAATAACCAAAATATATCTTTTTTAAATGTTATCTTTAATAACTGAAATTGAACAGATACCTTCGTCATCTCAATATCGGCAAATTGGAACAGTTCTCCCCTACAACAAGACCAAAGACTATTGGTACAAAATGGTTAATTATGACACACTTTACAAGATTATCATAGCATTTATAAATGTTATTATTGATGATTTGAATTAAACTAGTTGGGATATAATTGTCACTCTGACACGAATTAAACAAAGAGGGAGAAAATTACTACTTCTGCCATCTCAATCAATGCTAAGTTAAACAGTTGTTTTTCTATTAGGTTTTCTTTTGGTACACACTGTTGTTTTTGAAACAATTAATAACAATATTTCAATAATTATTCTTTCAATTTTTGGTTGAGACAACCGTTCGAACCTATTTTTTCCATTTTCAAATGTCGGATCGGATTCTCAGCGACTTATGAAGTGGCCACGGGGAGCTGTTAGTGAAGTTATACTTCTTTTATTTATTAAATATTAATTCATTTACGTTTGTAGGTCGAGATGGAGAGTTGGTGTCTGAGAGGATCGAAGTTACGATAGCTCAAGTGGTAGAGTAGCGGCGTATTTAGCCGAAGGTCGTGGGTTCGAATCCCGCTCGTGACACTGACTTTTATCTCAACCAAGACCTTACATTGAAAGAACAATTAATTGAAAGATGTAACTTGGTCAATTGACCACTAAAACGTAAATGAATTAATATCAATATTATAGAGTTATATATATTTATTAATAGCTCAAATTAAACAATTAGGGTGTAAATATCGCCAACTCAATATCGGCAAAATTGAACAGTTTAATATTTTGTCACACAAAATGTATTTCTAGAAAGTGGTCATTTTTAGAAAAATATCATAGAATTGTATAAATTATATTCATAATAATAATGGAAATCAAATAAATAGGGAAAGAGCCACTGCCCTCTCAGTTCCAAATTTGAACAGTTCCTTCTGGTTAAACCAGATCTATTGATACAAAATATTTATTCATAAAACCATTAACCAAAATCATCATCATTTATCATATCATACCATAACCATCATATCATAACCATATCATATCATTTATACATTTTATATACAATAATTGGATTTGAGCAAATAGGCATAAAATTTTCATATGAAAGTCAGCATTTACAAAAGGTTCATTATTCACCTCGACAAATCCACCTCCTTTCTCAACCAAATCTATTGGCACAAATTGGTTAAATTTATTTTAGCTCCGCGATTAAAGTTTATTCAAATTTATGTAGAACGTATATCCTCCTAGTACAATACGGTTAAGTCATCGATTCCAATCCGCGATGTCGTAATTCTTACGGAGACGTCCACTCTCCCTACGACAAATTGCGTGTGATAGTCAATCACGGACAAGCGGATGGATCAATGAGCCCTTCGTTGTCGAAAAAAAGAAAGAAGGAAAGTCATTTATCTGAGGACGAGTGAAACAAAGAATAAAGATCCGAGCATTGTCTCGACCACAATGGAATCGCGGTCCAGGGAAAGTTGCGTGCAGTAAAAAGCAAAGACCGACAGGCAAATTCGACAAGGCAAACTTTTTTGAATAGGAAAACTCTTATGTGGATTTTTATTCCTGCGGGGCTATGGACTTATAACACTCCATATTAGCCGTCTGAAAAGAAATAAAGGGTCAAACTTGACCGCAGGCCTGGCCGTATTTGAATTGAAAATAACACGTTTCTTTTCCGTGGTTTTTACAATCATTCTTATTGCGACATTTTTATTACCTCTATGCTGTTCATTTGTTTCACTGCAGTGGGAAAAATGCAAATCCTTTCTGAACTGAAGCGGATTGGGAAACGTAATAACAGGCCTGGTTAGTTGCTAAAACTGGCCCAGAAACCACAGGCGTTTGTCGTGAGTTCGAAAACCTACCTGTTGTTTTATGTTTATGCCGGAACTTCAAAAACGCTTTTCCCATGCCAAAGTTGTTTTTAATAAATGTACGCGATTACGGTATAAACGATAAGTTCAACAATTGTTTTCTAATCAAAGTCCGCCTTTTCCCGTGAGATTATACGGTAATGCGACATAGCACGGACTTTATAACCTATAATTTACAAATTGTTCTAATAAATATATAATTAATCAAAATTAGATCGGTACAATTTGATCGTTTTTTCCAACATTCTTATATCGACCAATTTGAAAAATTGTGATGTCTTCTAATAGAATTAATTTATCGGTTATTTTCACAGCTTTCAGACAAGGTTCACACTGACCCAGTTAACTTGTACGTTTTTTTATAAACATACAAGTAGACCTGAAACCTTGTTTAAGGGCAAGGCCGAGCTTATTTTCATCCTAAAATAGAATCTTTCTGCAGCTTTCACTTCTCCGTTCAATTGGTCGGTGAGCATAATTATTCGACATACTCGAGAAACTTGTTCAGTTCAGTTTTGACGATTCGAAAAGAAGTTCAAAACAATTATAAGGACGTTAGTTAATTTGATATCTTTCAATGAAACTTTTTGTTCTGAGACTTTCATAAGAGAAGAGTATCAGATAAGTAGGCAGGAAGAGCAGGACGTAAAGGCTAGCGAGATATATCGACAAGGGAAAAGGAATAGTGAATGATTACATCTTTTACAGACCGTTAATGATTGACTGATGAAGTTCAATCCTATCTTGACTTTCATTAGTCTCGCCTTGCATAGTTAAAAACACTTTTCTAAAGTTTAAATTAGTTATGATGAAGTATTATTATCTCTTCGTATTACTCAACATGATTGTGTTATTTTTTTGTTTCAGTATCAACCCTACCAGGAGCAGTTGAACAGAGGAGTGCTGTCGCCTCAGGAGCAGTCGCACATATTGAGCGATGTCCAGCAGCACAGGTTTTTGGTACAACAGGAGAGACCAAGGACGCAGCCTAATTATCAGAGGCCGCCTCCTCCACCACAACCGCCTGTTTCCTTCTCGGCCCCCTCGTTTCCTCAGCAGTACCAGTCGGATTCCTTCTCTTTCTCTCATTACCAACCGCAGTACCAGCCAGAAAGGAAGCCGATCCTTTTGAAGCCGACCTATCCCCAGGACCACAAGCCGACATTCACCCCAACTCCTCCCAAGTCGCAAAACTTCCACCAGCAGGATTATCAGCCGACTTATCACTCGAATTCGCAAGCCCCTATCCAGCAGGCGCAACCGTCTTTCCAACAATCGCAGACTTTCTCTCAGTTCCATCAACCACCTTTCCAGTCGTTCGAAAATAATTACGTTCTGACGTCCGAAAATCCTCAGCATCAACAGTTCTTGACCGAAGTATCTCAGCACCAAGCTAAGCCGGACGCGTACACTCCAAAACCGCAACAACAAGAGACTCCCTCTTGGATTTTAGAAACCCAACCTCCCACACCTTACAAGAAGCAGAAACCTTACGAAGCGATTACATTTGCGACGGAATCATTCAAAACGTCTACTCCGGCGCCGAGAGTAGTAAAATATAGGCCAAGACCAGTGAAGCAAGAAGACAAGTACCCGAGTAAAGAAGAACCCGGAGAAATTTATATCAAACCTGATAGAAAGAAGCTGTTTGATCAACTTGTTGGATCTCCGAAACCGGTTACAATTAAAGCGACGACTGTGAAACCCACTCGTTCCACGACAACCACTACGACAACAACGACACCGGCTCCAAGGATCCTTGATGAACAGTACATACAAGAACAACTACAGAAACAGATCCAGGAACAGCTAAGCGGAAAAGACGATATTTTCAAAACTTTAAAAATCACGCTGCCTGGTGAACTGAGCTCGGATCAAATCGCTAATCTTCCTAACATCGCTTTAGGAGATTCGGTAGCCCAGGTCCCTCAGCTTTCATCCTTCCCTCAGAATTTATTTTTGGCTAACGGGCAAAAAGTGAAAATTGTTGCACCCGGTAAAGCGTCCAAGAAAAACATTAAAACCGTTGTGATACAGCAGACGACGACTACGACCACACCAAAGCCTCCGGCAGTTCTTTTTGAAGAACTTACGAAAGGAGTTTTACCACCCGGTGCAGATTTCGAGGTCATAAGGCAGAAACAAGACGGAGCTCTAGAGAGGGTCGGTCCTATCCAAAATATCCCACAGAAGAAAGTCACATTCGTCATTTTAGAGGAACAACCAGACGGAAGCGTTAAAGTACAAGGCGTACGAGGGAACGAAGACGGACCGACCGACACTAAAGGAGAAGAAGTAGAATCCATTATCGAAAGATTGAAGAAAGGAGAAATCAAGCTTCCTCCGTCCTCAAAGTTGTCACGGCCCGTGGCGAACTCTACACCGCAAGAGTCACAACCGTCACCGAGCTATGTCAAACACGTGGAAAAAAGCCCCTCGAAGCCCACTGCAGCACCAAAACGAAAAAGCACGACACGCTCTCCGGTTTACGTTCATTCGACCCAAGTCGCCAATTCCCATGCCGGACCCAGCCTCCCTGTCGAAGAATACAAACGAGTAACGACGCAAGCACCTAGAAAACCTCAGTACTCCAGTCCGAACAGGGTTGCCGCTTTTCTACCGACAGTTAGCCCCCAAAACGACAACTCCGTCTCTTACTCTACATCGCCCTCGACGACCTTTTTGCCTCCAAAGTACTCGGTGTCCACAGCATACACGACAACTCCGAGACCAGTTTATACGACACCTGGACCGACGGCAAGCCCTATACCCTCTTACGTCTCCACCTTCCCCAGCCAATCCGCGTCTAGTCAAATCTACCCCAGCCAGGTATACGCGAACCACGAATTGTCCAGCCAGTATCCGAACCCCGAAGTGCCTAGCCATTCCTACACGAATCAGGAACTCTCCAGCCCGGTTTACTCTTCCAATCCACCTTTCACGAGCTCTACTCCTAATGCTATACAAGTGCTCGGCGAAACACTGAAAAAGAACGGACTGTACGCCATGGCCAAATTCTTGAAACAGTCGGGTCTCGACACCGTCCTCAACGAGACAGGTGAGCATTTTATATGTAACTATCACTATTAACGTAGTTATTTCGGTCAGTCAGACGTGCATTTCGACATTTCGCCATTTTCAGTGAGGGTCAGTGTGTGGTTATTTCTCTTGCTGTCGATTGACCATAGCAACTATGATAAGCTACCAAATACTAGGTTTATTCACACTCTATCATTGTGACTTTCCAATGAATATATTCGACTGTTCAGTTGTTACATACATTTTAAAATCTTTATTTATTTTCCTAACTTTTTAATATGCGAGAAGTATATGATGATGTTGATATTGGGTGAAACTAATTTAGGCTAATTGAATCGTAAAGGAGTTTAAAGCTTAAATGTTTTCACTTTTTAAGAATAAAGATTATCAGATTATCCGCACTATATTATTAAGAGTCGTTAACTGATCGTCATCGACTTCCTAAAACAATTTTTCAAATGAAAGGCAATTCGATTTCGATCTATCTTTCTCTGACTATTATTATTTCCGTCTCTATTTATATGTGTAACTTTTATGTATGTGTATAAATTATGTTATATAGTTGTGCATACAATGTTGTTGTCTACTGTACTAATTACTAATTTATACGAATTGTGACAAATAAACATGCTCGCTTTCTAGATTATGCAACGGTGACACATACAGAACATTATTACTTATAGTGATACTTTTAAAAAGTAATCAACTCTTGTATACCTTGTTTTCATGAAAAATTTAAAACAATAAATTTTGCAACCCTTCAACTCTGCCGGTCAAATGAACATGCACATATCACAATATTTATTAATGCACATTTATTAATTGCTTTTTGGATGAAGTTTAATTTAAAATGCAATTTTGAGCTGTAATAATGGTGATAAAACATTAATAACAACAAAAACACGGAACAAAAATTTTTGCCCCGGGTGAGGATCGAACTCACGACCTTAAGATTATGAGACTTACGCGCTGCCTACTGCGCTACCGAGGCTGGTTGTTCGAAGGAGTACTTTTCTTCCTTATACGAGCCCAGACCAGACTAGAATACGCTCTTTACCACGGTATAATTTATATTAAGCAATTAAATTAATTTAAATTATTAATTAAAAATGAGATTATTACGTTTGTCTCTAGTGTTTTCAGTTCATGCAATTTTTATTGTTTAATGTTTCAATATTATCGCTTTTTTAGCAAATAGCACTCGTATTTTGAGTGTTTTGGTCCTTCTTTTCTCACTTTTAGGATGTTTTTAGATACGGTTGTCAGAGTCTATGCGCTTTCTAAACGTAAAATTCATTTAGAACATTCATTTAACTTTGTATGGTTACTTAATTAATTGTTTAATAATTGTTATTAATGTTTTACGTAGAAAAGACAAGAGAAAGTTTATACCAGTACTTCCTTCTTCTTTTTTGATGGGTTTATTTTTAAATAATTAAGTTTATTACACACCTTCAGATAATGGCAGATGGAATTATTTCAACCGGAAAAACAAATTTAAAGGTCAAACGGACATTTTAACAATTTTTCTCGAGCCCGAAAAGCAACAGAGTACATGAAATACATTACAATATATTCAAAATATTCCATCATGCAATTAGTACATTTGTAAGTAAACGAAATCAAAACACAAAATTGGAAATCGAAGATAATTTCGCCAGATAAATTGTAGGATCTAAAGAGTTAATTTTGAAATATTTAATTTTATACCATCTTAAGAAAACGACAAATTTGAATGCTTTCTTGACGAGCTTATTTAGCTAATTTTACCAATGTACAGAAACAAACAAACATTTTTTTACGATTGTCTGGTGGATAAAATATTGACGAAAATATAATAAGATTTAAAGGGTTAATTTTTGGTATTTAACTTTATTCTACAGATACAGAAATGGCAGTCTGAATGATTGCAACCTGATTAACAAATTTCACAACTATGCAGATATAAATAAACATATTAAAAAAATATTGTTACACATTTTTCTGCTATCTAAAAATTCGCGAAGACATATTTACATTTGTAAGATTTAAATGGGTAATTTTTAAATATTTAAATTTATTCTTCAGCTTCAGAAATGGCAGTTTGAATGCAAAGATATCTGCAATTGTAGAATGATTTCAATCTAACTTATTAACTTTTTTTAAAAATTTTTATGCTTTTTTATACTTATATTTTAGACTTATGTGTTTTAATAGTTTAGATTCTGATGATGAGTGTAAATTCCCGAAATATCCAAATATATATTTAAACAAGAATTTTACTTTAAAAATTACCACATTGTTTTTTAAATAAAAACCAAGAAAGAAAAAATATGTTTACAAATGTTCGTGTTATTAAAAACACCTACAGAATAAAATTGTTATGTTTATATAATATAATTGTAAACGTAAAAGTTTTCCTGAAACTGTTACCTTGATATATTAGACACTTTCTTGCATTTCTATTTTTTTTTCTAAATTTGGTGGTTGATGATACAGATATAATCCCCAAAAGTTTAACAATAAAACAATTTACTTCTGTTTTAAATTCAATGTTTTTATCCCATTTTTTCTGTATTACTGTAAGATCAAAATTATTGCACACAACCATACATTAGTATAAAGAATTTTTTATTAGTTCAAGTAGACTTGAACATTACCTATGTTTTCTATACACAAATTATGCATTAATAGAGACGGAATGATGAAACAACATTCATTTATAATACAATACAATAATACAATAAATTTATTCGAATAATATTTATAATTTAAATTTCGTTGTTGATTTTTTTTCTCAGGACCTTACACGCTGTTTGTTCCCACGGACAAAGCTTTTAGAACTTTGCTGGTTCAACTCGGCGGCCCCGATCGAGCTGAGATCAAGTTCAAAGAGAACCCAAGGCTACTTAGTGGGGTAAGTGCTTGATTTTATTTTTTGTAGATGCCAATCATGAAAATAATGTAAAGACAACATTTTACACTCCTCTCTTAGACAATATTTAACATTTGTTTCATAGTAGGTAGGAAAATAGATTGTACATATGTAAATAAATTATATTGGTTTGGACATGTTATGTATATTTTAAAAATAGAGCTTTACAAAATCTTGGCCCCAGCCCATGTTCATAAACAATTTATATAAACCAAATTTTCTTTACCGTATCTTCTTTTTTCTCCATTCCAGGCTTTGTCAATCAATATATAGAAATGACTTGAATGAATTTAAAAACTGTGCGTTAAAATTACGGTATTGATTAAGATTTTTTTTTAAAAACTGAAATCGCATTTGGCGATATTCTGTGCGGGAATCGTTATACCACAATACCTAATATTTAAGCCAATACGAGTTTCTGAGGAAGTAGTATTCAAAACTTTATAAAAAAATACTATTACTATTCATATTCGCTATATTATTAAATTATTATTTTATTCGCTTTTAGTCGCTATATTATAATTATTATTAAATAATTTTGATTAGTTCTTTTGAGAATGAACATCATTGACCAATCTTATAAAACACGTGTGTGAGGTTTCTATGATCGATACTGGGAATAAAAATTGCAAGAAAATTTAGAGTGTATCAAGTGTAAAGTAAAATAAAAATTAACAACAATAATTTTTCATTATTTTTTAAAGAATAGCTTTTTTAACTTTTACTCAACAGTCCGTCGTTGACATGATTGTTGGCTCTTCAAAATACAGGGCGTTCAGTGAACAGACATGAATACTTCAGGAAGTTATTCTACATGTCAAATGGGCCTAAAAGTCCCTATTGCCCCTAGTCTGTTTCTCAGTTGTATCCGAGAATATTTCACTTTTCAGTCTTTCAGAAATTTTACCCATTAAGCCCCCATATCTCATAAAATATTAATCCTACCGTAAATTTGATTACTTCTACGACAAGTGCATTAAAAATATTACAAAATTAATTTATTTTTTTATTGTAAATTTAATCTATGCAAAGTAAGAAATCAAAACATAAAATCGTACGATTTTTCAAAGTTCTTGTCTAAGTTCAAGTAATATTTTCCTGGTTGTATCAATACTGAAGATACGACGCTTACAGACTAGTTGCCCCTACTAACGAGCTTTAAATATAATAGTTCTACCTATTTCTCAAAGGTAACTTATCACCAGTATAAAATTAACTTCACTAATTTCGTGGTCCGCTTGACATTTTTGTCAGAATCGAGTCGAGAATCCAATCCGATTACACATTCGAAAAATGGCAAAAAGGAGGGAAAAATCAAAAGGTGGGGTTGAGATGGGAAGTTAGTGTCCGAGTGGATCGAGTAGTAGCTCAAGTGGTAGAGCAGCGGCGTATCTAGCCGAAGATCGTGGGTTCGAATCCCGCTTGTGCCATTGACTTTTTTATCTCAACTAAAAAACCTTAATTAATTGTAATATAAAATTAACGTTTAATTCCTAAAAATTTGATCTTATGATTACATACTGTTCAAAGATATTAGTTAGTTATTAACATTCATCATTAATAATGCAAATTAAATAAAAACCTTAGAAAAAATATTGACCATAAGAAAAAAACCAACGTGAGGTTACATTAGAAAAACATATAAATCTGATAGGGTTTTCAATGCTCCCACCGTTGTTTCAATCAGCATGATTAATATTTAATGATATACGTTGGACTTTAAGGAATAAAGTTGTGTAAGGTTGAACTAAACTGAAAAATGAAATATATCGGAATTAGGAATTAGACTTTGGATAATAGGAAATTTTTAGTCCAATTTGACATGTACCTCCTAAACTATCGATTTGTTCACGGAACGCCCTGTATCTTAAATTCACGTCCTAAACTGATTTTGTACTTGGTATGGCTTCAGTTAACAATAAAAAATAAATAAATCTTATAGGATTTTTAATTCCCTTTCCGTGGATGTAACAAATTTACGTTAGGATTAATATTTTATGAGAGCCAGAGGCTTTATTGCAAAAAATGCGAAAGGTTAAAGTAACAGACAATAGGGGCTTTTTGGCCCCATTTCACATAGTAGTAATAGTATAAGTAACTCAACTAAAAACCTTAATCGAAAGATATTAATTGGTCAAGGGGACCTCGAAAACTAGTGAATAGTATAAGTAACTATACTATAGCTGAAATGCAGACAAATGTGTAGAGATTAGTGACCGTTAATCGATAGTTATTCAGATATCGTGAGATGCGGTCGGGTGTGATGTAGGTTTCAGAAAAACATTTTCTTTATCGTGCCAACGTTTCGATCTTTTATTGAGATCATCTTCAGGGCTCAAAGTGTTTGTCTTCTGTGTAATTGTGCCATCCTTGTGTGTCGTGTTGAGAGTGCCCAACGATATCTGAATAACTATACTATAGTATTGACGTCTCTTCATGGGACACCCTGTATAAAACATGGATTACTCCAGCCACACACTAACATTAAGTAATATTAATTTTTCGGATTAAGATGCTATTTTGCCATGTGACCAAGCTGATCGTTAGCTGATTACTTACTGTATATCGCACACCCACAAGAAGAGTGACACAAGTCGATAAAGTATAAAAACCGGATTATTTAGTTTTTAAGTATTTGGGTGTGTGATGCTACTGGAAAAAAAACTGGTGGTAAACACGTAGCTGCTAAGTAACACTTTTGAATTGGCAGGAACGTAGGGTCAACATTAAAGAAAATTGGCTTATCTTAGTTCTGTGCCGAGCTTTTAAGCATCGGTGTATGAAATATCTGTAAAAATGAATTTTACATCACGTGGACAAAGTGATTATAATTTGGTTGACAACCAACAAGAAGTAAACTGCCGTAAATAATGGTAATGAAGTCAGTCAGTTGTCAAATTCCATCCCTTTGGCAATAACCGTGGGACAAAGGGTTATGGAATTGGACCTTCTCGTTGCACTTTGATAACGGGTAATGAGAAAGAAAGTATGACCTATAATGCTGATAGTTCGGGCTATTCAGATTCCATTTACAAATCTGGGAAACATGAATAACGCAACTTCAAAAAGTTACAGAAAATCAAAGTAGTGCAAACATTGAATTATCACAATTACTTTTTATTCGAAATAAGATTGCATGTCCTTAATTGAATCTAACAGCATTTCTAGTTCTCAAGCTGTGTTTTTCTCTTCACTGTGAGAGAAAAATAGTACTAATTTTAGAATTATTTTAGTTGAAAAAGTATCGACCACTTTTTCACTCATGAACCCCCTAGATCAGGTATGGTCGAAGGAAAAAAGCAAATTCAATTGTTACTTTCAAGCTTTCGACCTATAAAAGGTCATTATCAGTGTCTATATTAATTTCACATTAAGAAAAACAATTGTTAAATCAATTGTACGGACATGTTTTTCCTTAAATTAATATAGACCCTGATGATGACCTTAAAATAGGTCGAAGCATGGCAGTACCAATCGAATTTGCTTTTTTCTTCAAGACCAATCAATTGATCTGGAGGGTTCGTGAATTATTTTAGTTTCATTACATTTATTTTAATAGCGTTCTTAATTATAATATTTTTTCACAATTTTTTAAGCATGTTTTCTATTAACTTTTACATTATTTTATCGTTTCGATGATTTTTTAATGGTTTAATTACATTATTTTTTTATAAAACTTTTATTTTCATACTTAATTTTGCATTTTTAATAACTAATTAGACTTGCTTCCAGAGGGAAAATGGATGGACCATTTAGGTCAAAAATAATCTTAGTATAACGTACTACATGGATATTTATGTTTGTTAGGTTTGTATATTTTAAGATAGAACAGACTGTCATAAAAAATTAATACCCTTATTATATTCTTTGATATCCATTATCGTTATAGCAAACAAACTAACTTAAATTACTGAGAGCCAATATGTGCAAGAAAAGTGTCACAACCTAAAATGGGTAGTTTTTTGGGGCAGTGCAGCTGGATTTTTATAGTTTTGGGTTTTTACGCTACCCGACGCAAATCCAAAGTCCATTTTTCCATAAGATTGTATTACAACGTGCACATCTGCCCGATGGTATGCTACGCTACCCTATTCTACGCTCTGCGATCCCCACCGCGCTTTCTTCCATTGATTCTAGGGTAGTATTAGTATCCCAAAGATTACAGTTTCTCCCCCGTAATGACGTGTAATTAATACATAAGTAAGAAAGTAAACTTTCATTTGTCTCTTCTGTTTCTGTTGTTAAGTTGTGTCACTTTTTGTGTGTGTACGATATGATCAGCGTAGATTGTCATGATTCATTAGGTAACATGTTTCATCGCGCCAAGAACTACCTCAGCGGTTTACGCCAATTCATCTCGTTGTATATTTTCCCAATTGTTTTAAGTTTTAATGAAAGTTGTGACATTTGAAAGTAAAAGTGATTAAAGACATTTCAGAAATTTGCCGTAGCCCGGAAAAACCGGAAGTACAATAGCACTCTAAAGGGGCGCGGTATACACAAACGCAGTCGTTTTCCGTTTCATTGTCATTCATCCGTGTTGAACGTTCAAAAGAAAGAGAAATTTCAAAGAAACGGAAAGGTTGTGTAAGGCCTCGGTATTTAAAAGTGCACAGAGACAAATGCGTCTGACAAGAGCGATTCTCATGTCATTAACGAGAAACCGAACATTGTATTGAACATGGATCGGACCGGAATCTCACGCCCGGTTCATTTCCCTTCTCGTATCACATTTAGAAATCGACCGGCAGAACGATCCGACGAGAATAATCACTAATGAATTTCATAACAATAAAAAATTAACATTAGGAAATATTATGATTAAGAACGGATTTCTAAATGTATACGATTGTCTACTGAGATTTGTGCTAAACATAACAATGTTTCTTTTTTGTCTCGGATTGTGCAACGAGTATGTTTTTGTCGAGTTACATGATGTTCAAGTAATGGTCGAGTAGATTAGTGTAGGAGAAAGACAGGAATGTTTATTACCGACCTAAATAATTTTTTTGTTCGGATTGATAACCCACCCACTATGCTCTATTTTTTTCCAAATCATACCACATAAAATAATTGCGGAATGAACAATGAAACAGAAATTATGAGTTAAAACCTTTATTGGTAAAAAGTGTAAAAAAATATAAACTTTTCCCAATGTAGTTAAGGCTAACAAGGTGGAAGCTACCCTAGTACTACCATTTTTGATGTAACTTTTTTTGGTGATACTAGGTTGAAAAATATTGGACACAGATCTGAACTTGTTGTCAGCAGTCCCTCGCAAATTAAAAAAAAATTTCTTTTTTATGGTTTTCTATTGTTATTATACGTGGAGGCTCGCGACTAGACGTCAATACTTTAAGAGGTTGTCCTACATGTCAAATTGAACTAAAAAGGCCTTATTGTCCGTAGTCTATTTTTCAATTGTATTCGGGATATTCAACTTACCATGTTAATTCAATCTTTCAGAACTTTTATCTATAAAGTTAGGTGTTAGTTATAAAGTTAGTTAGTCTCATAAAATATTAATCCTACAGTTAATTTTAATTAGATCAAATAAAAGAGCATGAAACATCCTATAAGATTCAACTTATTGTATTGTTAAATTTAGCCATACAATACTTAGGAGGTTATTCTACATGTCAAATTTTGCTATATTTCAATTTTCAGGTTAGTTCAACTTTACACCAATTTATCTCATAAACATAACAGCACTCTCAACACGACACGCAAGAATGGCACAATTACACAGAAGACAAACACTTTGAGCCCTGAAGATGATCTCAATAAAGATCGAAACGTTGGCACGATAAAGAAAATGTTTTTCTGAAACCTACATCACACCAGACTGCAACTCACGATTTCTGAATAATTATCTCATAAAGTCCAATGTATCCTATTAAATGATTGCACCAATGGCAAGAGCATTGAAAAACCTTAGATCGTTTGTTTTTTCTATTGCAAACTTGAGCCAAATCACTTAGGATAATAAACTTTGTCGAGTTTCCAAAGTTCTTGTCTGAAGTTTTATTAAGACTTTCTTTAGCCCAATGGAAAGAGCATTAAAAACCATAAAGGATTAATGTTTTTATTGTATCCTTAAGGAAATGAATCATAGTTAGTTTTTTTTTCTTACGTTCAATATTTTACCAAAACGTTTTTTTTTTGTTACGCATTACGTTCATTATTTTTCAATAAAAGTTTTGAAAACTTAATGACTCGTTTTTGAAACCATCTGTAACAGAAATATTACTTTTTTAGCAATTAAGCGTTAATTTTATATCGGTGATAACTGACCTTTGAGAAATCAAGTACACGTGTTTATTCATTAGTAAAGGTAAGTTATCCGTAAGCGCCAAGAAGTTTCTACTTTGTTTGTTTAAGGTTATAAAAAATGAATATCTTAGGGTTTTTAATGCTCTTTCTAGTGTTGTAAAAAAATGTACAGTATGATTTGATTTTATGAGATACGGGGGCTTTATGGAAAAAAAGTAGTGAAACGCTGGAATAACCTGAAAAATGAAATATCTGGAATGCAATACTGAGAATCAGATTTGGTACAATAGGGACTTTTTAGTACAAGTTGACATTTAGCATAACCTCGTGAAGTATTGACACAGTATATCATTCGATATTTTGTCGTAATACAAAACAGAAATATGCAGTTGGAATTAAATTTGATTAAAGAAAAATAGGATGCATTTGGGAGCAAAGGTTTTAAGATTATTTTTTCGGAAAAGCTTGTATTCAGGGGTTTGGGGAGTGAAAAACTACCTTAATTAACAACTTTGCTTATTGGCAAAAAATATTTTAACCTACTTATTGTTTGATTCGTTCGGGACGATGGTTCTCAACGCAACCATCTCGAACTTATTCAAAGTATTCAAATTTGCTAATGCTATCGTAATTCGTCCAGTCTAGAAGCTTCATGCCCCACTGCCTGAACTCTTACTGCTTCGTTATTATTACAACAATTACAACAGATACCTGTAATCAAAAGGCAAAGTAAAACAGATATATAAAAAGAATAAATTGAACTTTGAGTGCAGTTATTATACTATTAGGAAAAGTAAATAATTCATTTTTAAGCCTCTCTTTCCAACATAAGAGTAAACTCATAAAATATTATTTTTGTTTGAACAACATAGTAAAGTATGTGTGGTGATTAGTGACCGTTAATCGATATTTAATTAGAAATCGTGAGATGCGGTCTGGTGTGATGTAGATTTCAGAAAAACATTTTCTTTATCGTGCCAACGTTTCGATCTTTATTGAGATCATCTTCAGGGCCTGGGATTTACAAACATTGTTTACATATAACAATTATATTTTGGATGTGGAAAAGTGAATTTATACAATGGAAAATATATTTTTTATACATTCAATCCAATATATATTCAATACAGATAACATACCTATACATCACATTACATTCCACACATCAAATATTTTTCACATAGTCTAATTTCCCAACAATTTAGCTTTCCTTTTCCTATTTATCCCTTTCTATATAATCCTGAAAGGATAATCTGACCGAACCATTACCAACACATTTTTTTCCCTTCGTCGGCTCTTTTAACCTCAAAGAAGCCGACTCCTTATACAAAAATATCTTTTCTATACCGACTTCCTTCCCCACCCCTTCAAAATCCAACGTATATAAACACAAAATAGCAAAATCTCTCTGGCACTCTCGACACTACACGCAAGAATGGCACAATTACACAGAAGACAAACACTTTGAGTGAATAGAAATACTTTGATTGAATATATAAAAAATATATTTTTCATTGTATAAATTCACTTTTCCACATCCAAAATGTAATTGTTATATGTAAACAATGTTTGTAAATCCCAGGCCCTGAAGATGATCTCAATAAAGATCGAAACGTTGGCACGATAAAGAAAAGGTTTTTCTGAAACCTACATCACACCAGACCGCATCTCACGATTTCTAAATAAATATAGAAAGTATGAAATAGATTTCAGCCTTTGAATTGAAACATGCAACCGATATAATTGTTTTTGCGGCCATTTTTGTATTAAAAAAATTTAGTTTTTGAAAATGTATCAAAACCTGGTAAGTCTCTCATTTAAAAAAAGTTGATATTTTTAATTATTTACCTATCATAGTGACATTAGTCACACATTAATTTTATGCTAGTTTAATAATATATTTTTGTCACAGCATGTTAAAAACTTAAATCATTAGTGATTGACTTCTTATAAACATTTAATTTTTTTTTTGACAAAAACTGTAGAAAGAAGGATGACTTTTTATCTGCAATGGAATTTACGGTTTAAGGCAATCTCCTTTCCGAGTCCGGTTCACCTTTTCGGTTTTTCGCATGTGTCTTGAATAAAATAACCCTGTCTTTAATTTTGATTAGGTCAATCGTACATTTATATAAATCTTTCCGGGTGTTATGAATGGACTCGACCAGATATTTTGGCTGCAGGGAAGGAAATATAAATTCTGTTCTTGTTATGTTATTCTGTTCGTGTTATGTTGTTTGTGCAGTTAATTTGAAATACGAACTGGTCTATGTTATAAATATTTTCTTCACTATCGATATTTCATAGTGATTGTTTAAACATATTACTTTTGCTTAGACCTACAATTTTAGATGAAATAAAACATAATAAAGACGGAAATATATAATATATAATTATCTTTTTTTATTAATTAGTGAGTTTTTCGATCTTGTGTAGTGTTTCCTCAAATCTAGTACTTTTTTATTTCTAATAATTTAAAAAAAATATATAACATGAATTATTTTCTTCTAGCTTCTTCTGCACCACGTCATTCCTGGAGCTTTCAAAGTTAACTCGCTGCTCGACGAGATGACCGGTGTCAGCTTGGCAGGAACCCAACTCAGGGTGAACACTTACACAACACAGGACAACGAATGGAACGATGTTAAGGTGAGCGTTTTATTCTCTTCTAGTCTGGAAATATAGCGTAATCGCATATAAACTGTCGTAAATCTTCACCATGACGTTTTGGAAAAATGCTTAATTTCCCGATGCTATTTCATGCAATCGTTGGCGTTGCAAAGGTTGGTGACCTCCTATCGACTAATGGTGAATTGCATTTATGTAACAAACTTGGATTACTTGCAAGAACGGGGCGGAAAGTCTTTGGCTATTATTATATTTAAATTATACTTTGAATTCAATTTGCATATTTGATACATTAGTAAGCTTGGCATGAAGCGTTGTCGTAAGGATTTTGCAGGTTCACCGAATATTTCCGTAAATAAAGTTTGTTTATTAAAGTGACAAACTATTGGGCTTTTCTGCTATCTTACCTTTTGCAGAAAGTCACTCTATGTTATATAATTTTGAGATAGTTGTCAATATGAGTTCTACATGTGGTTTGGGTCGATTCGATCATCCTCCTTTGTAAATTACTGGGTGTAAAATTTTGAAAAGATAAAAATGAGCTGAATTTCAACAACTTCAGATAGTTGTGAGGTTTTCTCTACGGGAGGAGTACAGAGATCGGAAAGGATCCAACTGCTTGCTAATATAATTTTGAACTAGTGTCATATGATGCACGTTGAGGAACATGATTCCATAGAAAGGTGGTCCTTAGGTGACGACTGCAGACCCTGAGAAACACACGTAAAGTTAATAGATAAGTGAAAATGCTCGCTACATGGATTCTGCACGTCAGCAGCAGAAAAGTAAAAAGAGCTGTGTTTTTCTGCTTGCACGATGCACTCGTATATTTTCTCCGCTTCACATATGAAACTTAGATGCAATATATATATACATACCCCTAATCTCTGTAACATTACTCTAACCATTCTTAACTTAACCTTTCCTTAACTGTACCACTAATCTTAACCCAATCTATTCCTAGCCGAACCCGTCCCTAAACCTTACACTAACAACACGTCGTGAGAAGCGGTCAAGAATGAAGTAGTTTAGAAAAACACCTTTTTCATTTTTTGCCTACGTTTCGACCCTTATTCGGGTCATCTTCAGGGCATAGGCATAAATAGCAGTGCTGTTCTTTTGGTGTCATATTGGTGTTGTGTTAGTACAACAATTTCACACAACACCAATATCACACCAAAAAAATAACACCACTATCTATGCCTTGAAAATAACCCGAATAAAGATCGAAACGTCGGCAAAAAAATGAAAAAGGTGTTTTTCTAAACTACCTTATTCTTGACCGCTCCTCACGAATCCAACAAATTACTAACAGTTCATAACAACCATAACTCTAACTTAGGGTTGTTATGTAGTTAGGTTGTTATGTAGTTAACTTTGTTAACTAACCCAACCTTACTTCACTTAACCCTACATAACTTAACCCTAACCTTACCTACAGTAACACTTCCCTTATTACAACTCTAACGCTACCTAACCCGTTCTCGATAAAACATCACCTATCCTTAACCTTATCTAACCTAACCTGTTCTTGACTCTACATAACCTCTTTGTTAACCTTGACCATGCGCACTCCTGGTAATGCTAAATTGATGTCGTGAAGACGATCTGGTAAAAATGTATGTATTCAGCTCAAAAACGTATCCTTGTTAAAAAAAAGAAAGATTTCTTGGTGTGTAACAAAAGTCGATCAAGTATGCCGAATATCGAACTGCAGAGACGTTGACCAAATACAAAATTTGATCCAAAACCAGTAGGTACTGAAATGTTGCATCACGACCAACCATATAGTTCAATGCAAACGTGGAAATATTAGAAAAAGCTTCGTTATAAAAACACATGACATCCCTTCTATTCTCCTGATCTGCCCCATAAAGACTAGTGACCCATTCTTTTAAAAAGTGGCTGAAAAAAAATAGTCGTTGGCAAAATAGAGTATAGTAAATATTTTGTCAAAACATAACTATCAATCAAATAAAATATATTTAAAATAATATAGTTAATTTTTGAATTCACTTTCTGTAAAAAATGGCCAATCTATTATACGCAGAATATAAAAATCCGGCTTACAAGATGTTTATTTTCAATAATGATCATTTCTTCTTTCCTAGTTTCTATTAGAGGGATATTAAATTGTCAATACAAACAAATTATCTCTAAGAAAAATCTAGTGAGTCTTCGGAAGCCAGTCTTCTAATTAATTATTGATATTTAATCATTCTAATGGTAATGCGTCTAATGTGAATTGTTCCTCTTATTTATTAGTAGAGGAGAATTTCTTCCTTTTTAATTTATTCAGATGAAACTACTTTAACGCAACTGTTTATTTTCTTTTCTCAACTTTTTTCCGATCTAAGGTTATTCATTAACTTCGTTCCAATGTGTTAGGACACACTCCCAAGCCCGGGTTATTCTTGAATTTGGTAAATTGACGTGAGAAAGAGATAGTTACGCACTGTTGCAGCCGTTTCTCCAGAAATGATCTTTATTACGGACTGTCATGGGTTGTCGCGTAAAACAATAGGCTTTTATGATTCGCAAGTCCGGTTAGAATTGCTCTCTTTACTTTGAGCTTTCCCCCAAACCGTCAATTTCTCTACAGTATCTCAATGCAACTTTGTTTCCTCTTAGTATAAGAATTTTTAAACACATAAGTACACCGACAAATATATTTTCCTTTCTTAAGAGAAATTCATGCTTTCAATTCTCACCAATTTTGTCAGAGTTTGAAACATGTTTTTGTTATCTTACAAGCTGTATATGCTGTTTTTATTTATTCTTCTTAGTTGATTTGAACGACCAGCCACTCTTTATTGAATTCTTGAAATTTTGACTGCGTGTTTGTTGTTCTTACTTAGCACATCGTTTGTGTTATTGTTGATTAAAATGCAATTAAATTCCAATATTACGAATTTTTGTTTTTTCATTCCCTTCCACTTATATCTCATTTTGATAGTGATTGTGGAATATATTCCACTTTATTTTACGTGATATAATAAGAACACATAACGTATTTGGCAGGCATCATAGTTGAATAAAATCTAATTAATTAAGTACTGATTAATTTTAGTACAATGCGGCTGGCCCAAATGCAAATTCAGATGGCATTAATAAAGAAAATAAATGCAAAAACGTATCCTTGATTACTTAATCAAGGTGTTCAACCAAACATTTTAAATATATATAAGGTAATTTTTAACAGTAGCACATAAAAATAAAATAACAAAAATACTATGAAGAATAAATTCTCAGTAACATATTTTCATAGTTGATATATAGTTAATTTTTCTGTCTGTACTTGGATATTATTTAATATTTAATTATTAGTACATATACTTTTACGAAACATACTAAATTATACTGACGTTGTATTGGATCTTCTTGAGGTCATTTTACAGGTGAATAAAGAATATCACTATTGTGTTTCACCAAGCTTTCGGCGAATGTTCCGCCATCTTCAGGGCCTAATTTATTAAAAAATAAAATTTACATGAACAGAGTTACATAACATTTTACATTTTAGTTTATAGATTCATTTTCACCTTCACTTCAAAAAAACAACAAACATGTGCTATGAATTTAATTTTCCAAACAACTGGGTTAAGTACGTAATTGTATTTTTGTAATGTATATCTTTATATAAGATGTGCTATGTAACTCTGTTCATGTAAATTTTGTTTTTTAATAAATTAGGCCCTGAAGATGGCGGAACATTCGCCGAAAGCTTAGTGAAACCCAATAGTGATGTTCCTTATTCACCTGTAAAATGACCTCAAGAAGATCCAATACAACATCAGTTTAAACTATGTAGGTCGATCAACGTCAACTAGAATACTAAATTAAATTTACATATAATTTGGACGTTATTGTTCATTTATGTTTGCTTATCGTTGGCCTCAGATATTAGGCATTCGCCTATTCAGTGTAGGGTTTGCTATTTGGCTTCACCCAGCTTACAACCCTAATCAAGTTGCTGGTACATCTCCTGGCAGACCTCAAAAGAAAAATCACAAACGTGAAGATAGATTGAGGAGGGACGAGTAATCAATTCACTGGTTGGACAGGATATTTCTTTTCACAAAGTGGAGTTTTGTGATTAGAACTATCCTTTCCGGCCAGTGTACTACGAAGATATTGGTAATTTCATTTGGTTTTGTTGTCTTGCCCTGCTGATGAACGACGAAACGACAAAATTGGAGATTTTGATATTTCCTTTTAAGGTTTATTATAAAACGTTATTTGTCAATTAGAATCCAGGTCCTGAATTAGACGTTTCCGGGCATACCGTATTTTGGTGTTTTGGTTTGCGAGCCACGCTTCCGCATTTTGCTAACAGTGTTGCACACAATCACTGATGAACCACTGAAGACGGCAGAAAAACCGAAATGTAAAAACAGACCAAAACGATCTAAAATACCAAGCCACAGGTGCATCTCCTCTAATAGGAATCTCACAATATTACAAATATTGATTATTTGGAGATCGTGAGATGCGGTCTGGTGTGACGTAGGCTTAAAAAAACATTTTCTTTATCGTGCCAACGTTTCGATCTTTATTGAGATAAAATTCAGGGCCAATTAACGCTCACTAAACACCACACATTACAAATATTATTGCAGCTGGGTCGTTTCCGATCATTTGATCTAATTAACCTTGTTGTTTTAGTCTGTCAGGCGAGTTTCGGTTTTTTGTTACTTCATTGATGGGTTTTGTTCACTAATTATTTAACCACTATTCAATTATTTATTATTAACGGCAGGTTGATCACCCCGCAGGATGTTTACATAAAAAATGTTTGCCATTTGAATTGTGTAAGGTTATGTTAAACAAAATCAAATTGATATTGAATTTTGATTTTGTTTTATTTGCTGCTAGTCAAATGTTAGTAGGGAATGAAGCCAGACGTGTTTGTAAAATCACATGACCTTCCTTGGCATTTTGCATCTGTTGCACGAAGGGGCGAGGCTCCCTTGGCCTCCAAAAGTGTGCAACACGCCAACTAAAACGACTTAATTACGTGA